CCAGCCAGCGGACACAAATAGCTTGTTTTTATTATAACATCTTTACAAATAAAATCCAGTTTACCCAGGCATATTTCATATTTTAAAAGTTCACCTAATACCCCTACTGTACAAACTATCAAAACATACAAGAATCTCCTTAGACAAATAATGAGGTCATGTGACAGCGCAGGACTGGGCTTCTGAGTAAGATGGACAAGGGCTTGAAATCCACTCCACGGCTTACCAGCTGCAGGCCACGGGGCCAGGGAGGGGTAGTACCTCTATCTAGCAGGGAGGTGGAATGATTTGTTCTATCTTGTGAAATCGCACACATATACAAGGGAATGAAATAGATTTTAAATAAATCAAGTGGATAATTATAAAGATTTAAAAAATGTAAATTTGTGGAATTAAAGCCTCTGAGGAATTCTAAGAAGACACAGAATTAAGGAACCTAAAACTAGAAGAGATTTTGAGGTCATCCAGGCCACCATCTCATCTGCAGATAAGAAAACTAAAGCCCAGAGAGATTATGTTATGTCCCCACAGTCACACAGGAACAGAGGCAAGATCCCAAGCTGGTCTCTCGCTCCCCTGTGCTGCTCTTGCAGCACGCCATGCCACCACCATCCACAACTTCGACTGAGAAGCAGGAAGACGTACCCAAAACAATCTACCCTCTTTAATGCTTTAGAGGAAACCCTTAGGAACACGTCTCCTTGCATCTTGTTTAAATCACTGCCTTTACCGTTACAAGCTGCAACGGGAAAACGGGCTGTGGGCTCACATTATAGCTGCTTCTTATGTCAGCAAGTGACCTCCTCCCAGGCGTCCCGGTCTCATTTGTAACATGGAGACACGGCCACCTGACTTGCTGTACGACTTGAACGATACCTACGCCCTTAGCATAATGCAAGGCACCGGGAAGTATTCAATGCCCCGTTCCTTCCCTTCTCCCTCCTTCAGCCGTGCCTCTCACCTTCAGGAAGTGAAAAGCTACCCACAGGAGGATGCTTAAGCTATAGGGGAAGTGGGAAACAGCCGATTACCGCCGTCAATGGCTCGAGTATTTCCTGAGGTGGCACAGAGAGGAAATAGAATGTTTGAGGCCAACGCACCAAGGGCCCGTTCACAGGAAACGCAAAAGCGAAACGGTGACTGCTGATCGCGGGACGGGTCCAAGCGAAAGAGAAGGGCCGCTCCAGGCAGCCCCCGACAGCAGACACTGGCCTAACATCAGTAGGAATACCACTCCACAGCCTTTCAACAAAATGGACACGTATCTACCAGAATTTACACCGTGACAATGAAAGGCAAGCTGCCCTGGCCGGTGTGGCTCAGGTGGTTGAGCGCCGTCCCAGGCACAGATAGGTCACTGGTTCGATTCCCAGTTCAGGGCACACACCCGGGTTGCACGTTCAATCCCTGTTTGGGCGCGTGCAGGAGGTAAAAGATGGATGTTGCTCTCTCACATTGATCTCTCTCTCCTTCCTTCTGTCTCTCTCTCCCTTCCTTTCTCTCCAAAACATCAATAAAAACACATTTTAAAAAAATTATAGGCAAGTGTCTCTGCATCATGTAATGTCCTAAACGTAAACGCTCCTGCCTTGGTCCTACCTGTCGCGATCGATACAGTGGCTTCTCTGGTGGAGTGAAAGGGGCTTGATAAGGTACTGGCGGACCTGGCAGGTTTTGGGTTGAATTCTTGGAGTCACATATGCTTGGAGCGTGCCGTACTGGCCTTCAATGGAGCGGATCTGATTCAACACAGAGAGGAAAGAGAATAAGACTACGTAATGTCTTATTACAATGTCAGCAATGTCAGCATTATCTTTAGAACGGTCAACACAAGTACTCAAGCACGGAGGCCTTCGTCTCTTCTGTAATATGTTGAAGAAAATAATGACATTCTGTTAAACAGCTACTTTTTATCACTAGAGTAAAGGAAGGTTTTGGTAGGGGAAAGCAAAATTAACCCACACGTCTTCAGGTCATCTGTCTATACCATTCCAAAAAACACACATTGCCACATACTACCCGAGCCCATTTAAAAACACTGTGCTACAGCCCTAGTCGGTTTGGCTCCGTGGATAGAGCATCAGCCTGTGCTAAAATCAATATTTAATTATAGAAGTAATTATGTTGCTAAAATACTTTAAAAGATTTTCTCTAGAATAAATAGTAACAAATGATATGATATGATATTTTTCTGGAATGGAACCAGAAAAATCCAGGTAGTAGGAAAATATAGATACTTCAAAAACCAAATGACCTGACCTGGCCAGTTTGGTTCAGTGGTAGAGCGTCAGCCTGTGGACTGAAGGGTCGTGGTTTTGATTCTGGTCGAGGGCATGTAACTCGGTTGCAGGCTCGGTCCTCGGCCCTGGTCGGGGCACATGTGGGAGGTAACTATTGATCTCTCTCACATCAGTGTTTCTCTCTCTGTCTCTCCCCCTCCCTTCCATTCTAAAAAAAAAATCAATGAAAAAAATCCTTGGGAACAAAAATCATCCCAGCTGGGTGGCTCAGTTGGTTGCATCGTCCTGTGCACCGAAAGATCTCCAGTTGGATTCCCGGTTAGGGCACATACCTAGGAAGCCAGTTCAAGCACCAGTCAGGGCTCATATGGGAGGCAACAGATCGATGTTTCTCTCTCTCCCTTCCCCTCTCTAAAATCTATAAAACACAGCCTCAGGTGAGGATTAAGAAGAAGTTAATGAAATCTGAACAGTAAATATTTGATGACATCTAGGAATTACTGTTAATTTTTCTTAGGTTATGTTTTCTCATGGTTATATGTTTTTTAAAAATATATATTTTTATTTATTTCAGAGAGGAAGAGAGAAGGAGAGACAGAAACATCCATGATGAGAGAGAATCATTGATCAGCTGCCTCCTGCGTGCTCCCCACTGGGGATCACACCCACAACCCGGACATGTGCCCTTGACAGGAATTGAACATGGGACCTTCAGTCTGCAGGCTGATGCTCTATCCACTGAGTGAAACCAGCTAGGGCTTGTGGTTATGTGTTTAAAATAAGAGTTATCTTTTAAACATATGTACCAAAATATTTATTTACAAGTGAAATGATAAAATATCCTTCAAAATATTTGCTTCAAAATGATTTGCAATGGAGAGTGAGAGGATAAACAAGACTACTGTGAGTGGAACACCGGGGGGGCGGGGGGGGGCTGGAGTCCTCACGTTTACATGTTTGAAACTTTCCGTAAGAGAAAATTAGAAAACAAATGTCCAGTGGGAAGAAACGAAGAACTGGGAATTTCAGAGAAGTTGCTTGGTTAAGTGATACCAGCAGAGAGAGTGGTCTGGGCTGAATTAAAGCCTAAGAGATTATTCAAAAGTTACTCAAAAATGACTCATTTCAGGGAGAAATTTAATGCAAAGAAATTCTATCTTATGTTGTAAAATACACCGATATGAAAAAAACAAGTCCGGACTTTCCAGTGAAGGTAACTTTGGACACTTACCTTGAGCTCCAGCCTCGTGGTGTTCGCCTGGCACCGGTAAGTGGCGAGAAGGAAGTTGTCACTGGACTGGGCGGAATTCAAAGTGAAGGAAAAGGATGAATCCTCGTTTTTAACAGAACGAACAGCATCAACAATGGTCACCGTCGGCCAAGCACTCACTCTCCTGTGGGTGGCGCTGTGCTAACGGCTTCTAGCTTATTCCTATGCCATAAGTTTTACAGATGAAGAGACAGGCCTGAGGGGCTGGGTTAACTCCCCAAAGCCAGTCAGTAATAAAACTGGAATTCAAATTCATGTCTGTGAAGACTCTAAAGCTCACGCTCTTTCCATCTTGAATATCTACAATAACATTTTAAAATACTGTTTTCTAAAAATGTAATGGATAGTAAAAACTCCTAATGTTTATACTATAAACACAAAGACATCAATGTTTGGTACAGGATGTCTTTGATTTTCACAAACACAGAGGACTGAGAAATATCTCATCTCTGTATTTCCACCAATGGCTTACTGCAGGAATTCAATGTTTGCTGAATTAAGTTGCTGAGATAATTTCAAGTATTATAACTTCTTGAAATTAAATATTAAATGACTAAAATAGCGTAAAATAAGACTGGCCATATGTTGAAGTCGGTGATGAGTATATGAAGATAAAGCTACTATTCTTCCACTGTTGTATGTACTTGAAATCCCCACAGTAAGGTTTTTATAAAGCTATCGTGCCAGAAAGCAGTTTTTAAATTAGTATAAAATACTCATTCCCGAGAATCCAGCAGTGATGTAAATAAGGTTACTCTTTCACAGTACTTTACAAATGAAAAATCTTACGTTTATATTAATTTTTAAAATGATGATAAAAATGTAGACCCTAATGTTTTATGTTGTAATTTGCAAACAGGGATGACAAACTGTATATAACACAATACAACTGTTACAAAATTTCTTATCAAGAAAAAAAGCTTTACTATGAAACTATGTTATGCTGAAAATTATTCCCTAATATAGCGATCAACTTTGTTCTTTATCTGTTCTTCTTACTCCTTCCTTTTGTCTGTGTGAACCACATGCTGCTATGGCCCCGTCTGCTGCTCGGGTGCCGGGCTTCCCTCCCTCCTCCTCGGGAGCCCGCCCGCTCAGGCCGCTCCCCAGGGGTACAGGGCGTCCAGAAGCTCCAGCACGATCTCATCCCTGGTACTTCGCACACAGTAAGTGCTCAATACATGTCTGCTGAATGAACAATACGCAAGATTCAACAAGCCCAGAGAAGGCGAGGAAGGGCTGGCGGGGGCTGAGCACGTTCAAACGTAGGAACGGGTAAGACTCCATTGCAGTTTCAGGAAACGTGGAGCACGTCAGCGAGGTAGGAATGATGGGCAGGAGGAAGGTCGCGCTGTGAGAGACAGTGGGAGCTGGAAGCAGGGTGAATCCTGGAGGAATCTAGCTCACACGCCCCAGGACACAGGAGGCTCAGACAGGTTTAGAAGGACTTGGTGGTGTCTGCGTTTTAGGGAGAGCTGTCACCACAGTGCACAGCACAGCTGGGAGCGGGCATCCTGGCGACAGAGAAAGGGGATGAGGGAGTGGTTCAGGCAAGCAGGGGGCGGGCTGGACGGCTGAGAGAGAGCAGTGGAGGGAGCAGAGGGGGCAGCGCAGCGGGAGGACCAGCAGGAACTAATCGGATTTCAGGGCCAGAGAAGGGAAGGATCTAGGACAGCCGGTTTCTGGATTACCTGAGGATGCAGAAAGGGCAGAAGCAGGTTTTGAGGGGAAGGTTATGAAATGAGAAACTATGAAGAAATGTAGAACCTAGTGGTGTTTGTAGGCTTTATTCAAAATAGGAAAATAGGAATGAAGTCGCCGGAGGAATTCCTTCTTCTCACTCACCTCAGCGTCACAGCTGCTGAAGCTGACAACAGCGGAATTCTTGTCCACATCAAGTAGGTCTATGGGGACATCACTCTGCAGCCAACGTTAGAAAAGGTTCAGGTGGGAAATTAAAACTTTTTCTCAAAACCTATTTTCTTTAAGGGCTTTCCTCATGTTCATCTTCAAAGTTGAGAGTATAAATTCTCTTATATTTGATAGTACGTACTTCTAGAAAATACGTAGAGAACACTAATAGAGAATAAGTATTATAATGACCTATTGTTTTCTAATTTGGGAGATCAGAAGTCATAGAATATCATCTCACTTTCCCCTTAAAAGTATAATCTTCGCCCTGACCGGTTTGGCTCAGCGGATAGAGCGTCGGCCTGCGGACTCAAGGGTCCCGGGTTCGATTCCGGTCAAGGGCATGTACCTTGGTTGCGGGCACATCCCTGGTAAGGGGTATGCAGGAGGCAGCTGACCGATGCTTCTCTCTCATCAATGTTTCTAACTGTCTATCCCTCTCCCTTCCTCTCTGTAAAAAATCAATAAAAATATATTTTAAAAAAAGTATAATCTTCCTGTCTATTTCTGTCAGTGCTAAAATGTTACCAGAGGCTGCAAATACTCACATGGCCTTCTGACTATATCAGTTCATTTTTTTTTATTTTAACCTCAGCTGTAACACAGACAGGAGAGAATTTTTGGTCTCCTCTGGAGAGGTAGTTTCTTTTTTTAATTTTATTTTTCAATTACAGTTTACATTCCATATTATTTAGTACTAGAGGCCTGACACACAAAATCTGTGCATGGGTACGGTCCCTAGCCCTGGCCTGCAATGAGGGCCATCTTCCCCGGCTGCCCCCGGCCGCCACCGACCCCTGGTCCCCTGTTCACAATTGGGCAATCGGAACCTGCTGGCTTGGGGTCGGCATTCGCTCCTGCTCGCCGTCCCTGCCCCCATCGCGGGTCATCCTCTGTGTGTGGGGCGACTTGTCGGGAGGGGGCCTTGGCCTGGCGCCACCGGCATCCCCCACTACCCACCCCCAGTTCCCCATTTGCCATCAGGCGATTGGAGCCTGCCACCTGGGAAAAGGGACCTAGAGGTGGTCAGTGCACCTCATAGTGACTGATTGAGTGGTCATTCTGCCATTAGGGTCAATTTGCATATTACCCTTTTATTATATAGGATTATATAGGATAGAAACCCAGTGCACGGGTGGGAGCCAACCAGCCTGCCCTGATGGGGGCCCTGGATCAGGGTGGGGGTCTTCTGGGTGGCGCAGGGCCAGCTGGGCTCAAGGGCCATGGGGAGTTTTCCAGCCAGCCATGCCCCCGATGAAGGTGGGGCTCCTCATTGGGGGCCACACCCCCAGTAAGGGGGGGCAGGGGGGTCCCTGCCAAGGGGTGGGGCTGGCTGGGGTAAGGGGCTGCAGGCGGTTTGCAGGCCGGCCATGCCCCTGATCGGGGTAGGGGTCCCTGCTGGGGTTTGGGGCTGGCCGGGCCATGGTTGTTCCATTTTGGTCCCTGGGCTTTTATTATATAGGGGAGCTTCAGGTGTACAGCACAGTGGTCAGACAATCATATACAGTCTTTGGTGTCCTCAACTTTGTGCTTTACATCCTGTGACTGTTTTGTGACTACCAGTCTGTACTTCTCACCCCCCTTCCCCCCAAGCCCCTTCCCCATCCAGCCCCCGCAGGCAGTCTCAAGGCCGGTGCCTGCGCTGTGCTCTGTGTATGTGGTTCCCGAGGTGTTCCAGGCGGCAGTCCTGAGCTAGAGTTAGGAGAGATTTCTGCCTTTACGTTTTGATTGATAATCTGATCTCTCATCCACGTCTTTTAAGCTTATCTTCCTCCCCTTAGTCTTTTCTCATTTTCTGATGGGTTTTCTATCATTTCCTTGTTTTCCATTCTTTGTACTATCATCCTTGTCACTCCAACTGAAGAAATCATTAAATATATTGAAGCATGAAGTTGTACATTGTTATCCCTGCATCTCACCTTCAGGATTATGTTCTTTGCCTACTGACCTCCCTAAGAACTGGTCATGCAAGCTGTACTGCGGGCTATTTATTTCAGTATCTGAAGCTTAAAGGTTCTAATAAGGGCATTAAACGCTGCAGTTTTCTAAGTTGCATCTCTGTTACGATTCTCTTAACGGTTAGCCAAAGTGCAAAATCCTTACTGTCCTTTCTGACTCATCCTCAAACTTAAGTGCCTCAGCCTTTTGCTAAATATGCACAGGATAAAGTAAAGCTATAACTTTGGTAATTTATGAGCAAACTAATAATCTAATAGGAGACTAAAATAAGCCTTTAAAAGTACTATCTAAACTAAATATAACATTTAAAAGACCAACATTCACATTACAGGTTAGACATTTTGCTTACCTGCACTAAGACATTGTCTATGGCGGTCTGCACTTCCAAGATGAGGCTGTAGCTGGCATCGTCTTTATTTAATGTAAACTTGTCATTTATGCTAAAGGAAGGCACCGCTGATTTTGCTTGGCTTGACTGTGAAGACTGTTGATACCTCTCTCTTTCCTGTGCTACCTTCAGTTGCAGCTGCTCCAACTCACTCCTGGAGGAAAACAGATACAACTCTGTCACCTGGAAGTATAAACATCTGAGGTCCTTAAAATGTTTATAAAAATTTGAGACATTTACTTCTGCAAAATGGATTCTTTTAACCCTCACCTGAGGACCTATTTAGAGAGAGGAAGGGTGAGAGGAAGGGAGAGAGAGGGGGGAAGAATGAGAGAGAAATATCGATGCGCCCTGACCAGGGAGAGAAACTGCAACCTTTTTGCTCTACGGGACGACACTCCCAGCAGCTGAGCCCCCCGCCGGGGCAGTGAATGGATTTTTATTGGTTGAGTGACTGTAACACTAATAGGAACAGAATTTTTGCTTACAGGACTCAATAAACGATTCCATATTATTTATCTCTAATCTAAAAATTAAAACATCTACTCAGTCCCACACGAGCCACATTAATACAAAGCTGTGAGTGTCGAGGCAGCTGCAGACAGCCCACGCTCACACGCCGACCTGGTCACGGGACCTACGGCACCGAGCGGGGGAGAACCTGAGTGTCCGGGCGCAGGAACACCTCGGACCTGAGCGGAAGGAACCAGTGAACGTGCGCCTTTCGGTAAGACGGGAGGGAGACAGACACGATAAGGAGGAGGCTGCAGAGCTCTCACATCGGGGGCCCACGGGGTGACCACGAGGCGTGGAGCAGCAGACGCTCCGTCCAGTGCTGGGGGGGATGCTGGGACTGAACTGCAGGGCAGTGCAGGCAGCGGCTCCCGTTACCGGGAAAGGCCATATGCAAACAGAGCAGACAGTCACGGGGGGCTGAACATGGGCTTAGCTACCCAACTCAGGAGAAACTCTGGGGGGAGCAGGAGGGGATCTGTGCAGTGAACCAAGGGAAAGACGGCTGCTGAGTGTGTCACACGCACCCACGCCCCAGGTGCTGAGTGAAGGGAGCGGACAGGGGGCACGCCTGGCTGGAAACATGCGGCATGCGGGGGCGCGGGAGCTGGTCTTCCTGAGCTCTGCTTGCTCGCCTTGCTGCCCGCACAGCACAGCTTGCTGTCCTGGTGGCTTTGGTGCACGGGCGTGAGGAGAACTGTGGTGTGGCTTTAGGGACCAGACACCTCTGAACTCTCAACTGCCAGCCAACAAATACCGGCCCTCACTCCCCCAAGAGATGGCAAGGGTAGAAGAAGGAAGAGCAGTCACTAAGTTTCAGCCCCTCCCACCTCTTCAAAGGAACTGGTTACAAAGCAGTCCCTGGGTCTAAAGAAGTCAACATTATTCATTTCCACTAAGAAAATGTATAAGCCAGCCCTGACCGGTTTGGCTCAGTGGATAGAGCGTCGGCCTGCGGACTGAAGGGTCCCGGGTTCGATTCTGGTCAAGGGCATGTACCTGGGTTGCAGGCACATCCCCAGTAGGAGATGTGCAGGAGGCGGCTGATCGATGTTTCTCTCTCATCAATGTTTCTAACTCTCTATCCCTCTCCCTTCCTCTCTGTAAAAAATCAATAAAATGTTTTTAAAAAATTAAAAAAAAGAAAACGTATAAGCCAGAGTCAGACTTTCAGAGAGGCCCGCAGGAGCAGTGAGCATTAGAATGAGTGAGAGCAGAGCCATCGGTGAGAGCTGCTTTCATGCCCGTAAAAAGCAAAACATGACGACCACCTATCCCCACAAAAACGATATGTTCTCCGTCTAAGAAGCCAGTACACAACACAGCACACGAAGAGTGTATCTCTCACTCCAAATATTCATCAGCATTTACCGCTGGTTTTCTCAAACTGATAAGCTTTCATTTAAAAAGTGATAAATGACTGTGTGATGCCTTCCAATATAATACACTGCATCTATCAGTAACCAAAACAGCAACCACTGCGCACGTCATGAGATGAAGACTGACAGGCAAACATGCAACGTTACCGCAGGCAGGAGAGCTTGTGCTGCGTCTCCTGGCTGAGCCGGAGCTCCTCGCCGGGCCCGCCCTCCTTGTGCACTGGCTCCGTGGTCAGCCCGGTCACCCAGCCTGCGGGGGGGATGCAACCGTCAGCACTAAACCCAGCCCACTGCCCCTCCACCAGCATCAACCTCCCAGCACACACTCCTCTCCAAAACCCCAAACAGAACAAGAACTAAGAGAAATGAAGCTGGGAAATACTCAAACCACAAGGAAATTACGTAAGCATTTTGTGATACCATTTTTGCTTTGCCTGAAATACTGGCAAACTATGATTAAGGAGAGCTTTCATTTAATTTACAGTTTTAGGTTCGACTATGAAATAAGTCAACACATTCTAACAAATGCAAAAATAGACTCGTTTTTCAAAAATTATTTTCATGTTATTAAACTCTTGTATAACATTGTGAAAATGTAAAAATGATCTAGTTAAAAGCAAGATTTTATAACAAATGTGCATTTCTTATATTAATGTATACTAAATAATAAAACATACACTAAATTTCTTTTTTAACCAAAGAACATTATTTAACTTTCAAAGATACTAGTTATATGCCAAGCATTTTTTAAAATATTTTTATTGACTTTAGAGAGTATGGGAGAAGGGGAGAGAGATAGAAATATCAATGATGAGAATCACTGATCGGCTTCCTCCTGCACGCTCCACACTGGGGATCAAGCCCACAACCCAGGCATGTGCCTTGACTGGGAATCAAACAGCGATCTTTCGACTATGAAATAAGTCAACACATTCTAACAAATGCAAAAATAGACTCGTTTTTCAAAAATTACTTTCATGTTATTAAACTCTTGTATAACATTGTGAAAATGTAAAAATGATCTAGTTAAAAGCAAGATTTTATAACAAATGTGCATTTCTTATATTAATGTATATTAAATAATAAAACATACACTAAATTTCTTTTAAACCAAAGAATATTATTTAACTTTCAAAGATACTAGTGATATGCCAAACATTTTTTAAAATATATTTTTTGACTTTAGAGAGTATGGGAGAAGGGGAGAAAGATAGAAATATCAATGATGAGAATCACTGATCGGCTTCCTCCTGCACGCCCCACACTGGGGATCAAGCCCACAACCCAGGCATGTGCCCTGACTGGGAATCAAACAGTGATCTCCTGATTCATAGCTCAATACTCAGACACTGAGCCACACTGGCCAGGCTTAAAAAGTATTATTTAAATATTAACTATTTTATAAATCAATATACCCTGATTACTTAACCAATAATTTTTAAATCTATAGATAAGAGTGACTTACTATTTGGGATAAAGAACACACAGTACAATACACAGATGATATACTAATATTATAGAATTGTACACCCAAAACCTATATAATCTTATTAACAGGAAAGTCACGTCATTAACCAATGTCACCTCAATAATAAAAAAGAAAACAAAAGATTTGCCAAGAGATTATAGATACCATATATATATATTTTTAAGAGTTCACTAAAGTTTCATCAGTTAAGACCAAATGCAATGAATCTGGATTATAACCAATTAACAATGAGGGTGGAGAAACTATCTATATATATCTCTCTATATAAAAGGCTAATATTCTTAAAATCATGTGATGGTTCTTTACGATTTTTTTTCTTTTTTTTTTTTCAAAATGGTTTCCAAACTCCATTTTTAATTATGGAAAAAGATTTTACTTGGGGTGGTAGACACATAATACAATATACAGGTAATGTATTATAGAATTGTACACCCAAAACCTATATAATCTTATTAACCAATGTCACCTCAATAAATTCAATAAAAAAACATAAAAAATAACTAAATGAAAATGAAAAATTTTTTAAATGTTAAAAAGAGGGACTTACTAATAACACATTAAAATAAAGGTGTCAAAAGCAATTTATTAAATTTATATTTTTATTGTCCATTCTTCCTTCAACTGCCTACTCCCCTTCACCTTACCTGAGTATGTGGATACTACGATTTCGTCATAGCCATCTTTCCCCACACAACCTCCCTGGATAGATGTGACACTTTCAGACAGCGCCTAGAAGAAATTTAAGATCAAGCACGTCCTTAGTAACGAAACATTTCACAGATATGTTACAGTATGCCGCAAAACTTACTTCCTGTCTCCAGACATTCCACGTTTATTGAACACTTGGTACATGTAGACACTGAGACTGGAAAGGCAAAAACCTTGCACTAATGTCAGAAAATTCCAGTGTTTTTGTTGTTGTTGTTGTTATTGTTAATCCTCACCCAAAGATATTCTCTCTATTGATTTATTTTTTCTTTTTAGAGAATAGGGGGGAGGGGGATGCAGAGAGAGAGAGAGACATCGCTTGGTTGCCTTCCGAACACACCCAACCAGGGGGCCAGGAACCTGGGCAGGGAATGAACCTGCAACCCAGGTACACACCCATGACGGGAAATTGAACCCAAGCCCTTTGGTGCCTAGGCCAACCACTGATCCACACTGGCCAGGGCAAATTCCAGTGTTTTTAAATTTGAGGAAAGATTGAAAAGACACACATATTTGCATGTACCACTCAACTACAATAGTCATCTAATGAGCAAATATCATTTATTAACATAAAAAAGTTTTAAAAATTGTATAAGCAAAACTCTCAAAACATGTTTAGTCTATTATCTGAATTCCATAGACCATGTCTTATGTGTTTTCTCCAAATAGCTTTTTAGATGAATAAAAAAGATGATGGAATCGATGAAGCCTTTGGGGAATTTGCTGCTATGGAGAGAAAGCAAGCTTTTAAACATAAGAAAGTTCTAAAAATTGTATAAGCAAAACTCTCAAAACATGTTTAGTCTATTCTCTGAATTCCATAGACCATGTCTTATGTGTTTTCTCCAAATAGCTTTTTAGATGAATAAAAAAGATGATGGAATCGATGAAGCCTTTGGGGAATTTGCTGCTATGGAGAGAAAGCAAGCTTTTCCGAAGTTCAGGGTTTACGTCTTTTTAAAGCAGTACTTCCCCAAACTTTCTGACAGTAATCACTTGGGTGAGTCAACTAGCAATCTGTATTTCAGCCAGCACTCTAGGTCAGTAGCCTTTTAAAAAGAAACTTTTTATTTATTGATTAATCTTAGAAAAGGAGGAAGGGGGAGACAGAGAGAGATTTGTTGTTCCACTTATTTATGCATTCATTGGCTGATTCTTGTTTGTGCTCTGACCAGGAATCGAACCCGCAACCTTGGTGTATCGGGATGATGTTCTAACCAGCTGAACTACCCAGCCAGGGCTAAGTGAATAGCTTTTAAGCTATTTGAAAGCAAGCAATGTATTTTATATTGCAATCTAGTATACATTCACACATGAAAATATACAACAGATATAACTTAAAAGGTTTGTGTTTCACTCTGACATAGTCTAATCTATTCTAATTAATTTAAAAAATGTGTTGGCAGCTCTGCTGGCGTGGCTCAGTGGTTGAGCTTTGACCTATGAACCAGGAGATCATGGTTCGATTCCCGGGCAGAGCACATGCCTGGGTTGCATGCATGATCCTCAGTGGGGGGCGTACAGGAGGCAGCTGATCAATGATTCTCTCATTGATGTTTCTCTCTCTCCCTCTTCCTTCCTCTCTGAAATCAGTAAAAAATTATTTTTAAAAAATGTGTTGGCAACCCACTAATAGGCTTTGACCGGTAGTTTGAAAAACCCCGCTAGGGCCTGGCTGGTGTGGTTTAGTGGTTCAGTATCGACCCATGACCCAGGAGGTCATGGTTCAATTCCTGGTCAAAGCAAATGCCAGGGTTTTAGGCCTCATTCCGCCACCCACCATCCCTCTGCCCCGGGGCATGCCAGAGGCAGCCAATCGGTGATTCTCTCTCATCACTGATGTTCTATCGCTCCCTCTCCCTTCCTCTCTGAAATCAATAAAAAATATATATTAAATAAATAACAAATTTTTAAAAATGCTAGTGACTGCAGGGAGAAAGGGTTTAGGTGGGATAAATGGTGGGAGGTGGGGGGTCTAGGTGGGATAAATGGTGATGGCTGGAGACTTGACCTGAGGTGGTGAAATTTAACCAGTGTCACCCCAATAAATTCAATATAAAAGGAAAAAAATAAAATCTAAAAATAAATAAATATACACACTTTTTAATTTTTTCTTAAAGTTAGTTTTTTTCACCCTCCCTATCAGAGCTACCCTTCAAATCAGGCACTTCTTAGCCTTTCCTGAGACCTGGGACCTGAGACCTGAGACCTGAGACCTGAGACCTGAGGAAGTCAGGTTATAAAGGTTTGATTACAAGTTTGCATAAACTTAGGTCCACAGGTGCATTTTATTTATTTATTTATTTTAAAATACTTTTTAAAAAAAAAATATGGAATGCTGCACAAATTTGTGTGTCATCCTCTTAACCAGTGTCACCCCAATAAATTCAATATAAAAGGAAAAAAATAAAATCTAAAAATAAATAAATATACACACTTTTTAATTTTTTCTTAAAGTTAGTTTTTTTCACCCTCCCTATCAGAGCTACCCTTCAAATCAGGCACTTCTTAGCCTTTCCTGAGACCTGAGACCTGAGACCTGAGACCTGAGGAAGTCAGGTTATAAAGGTTTGATTACAAGTTTGCATAAACTTAGGTCCACAGGTGCATTTTATTTATTTATTATTATTTTAAAATACTTTTTTTAAAAAAAAATATGGAACGTTGCACAAATTTGTGTGTCATCCTCGCTCAAGGGCCATGCTAATCTTCTCTGTATCATTCCAATTTTTGTATCTGTGCTGCCGAAGCGAGCACTAAAACACATTTTTATTGATTTCAGAGAGTAAGGGAGAGGGGAGAGAGGGAGAGAGACATCAATGATGAGAGAGTATCATTGATCAGCTGCCTCCTGCACACTCTCTATTGGGGAATGAGCCC